CCAATGGTCTAGGAGCCGGCTCCAGGGCCATTGGAGGCGGCTCTAATATTCTGGAGCCGGCTCCAAGTTGTTTATTCGTGGGTTTTTGGGTCTGTTGGTTGTTTTTCCAATTTTCAGTGATTAGGCTTCCTAGTGATTGTTTTAATATGTTTTAGTGGAGAATAAATACTGTAATGGATGGTTTAGGAGTGGTCTAGAGTAAACATAAATATGCAAAGATCGGATTAACATAGAATTGGACACAAAGCATTAATCGTTAGGATTACATGGAGTTAATTACGAATGTCTTGCAGACTTGCGTGGGTTTGGAGTTTCTAACTTCCAAATTATAATGTAAAATTTCTTGTGAGAGTTTGTGCACTGCTAATTGCAAATTCTTAGAGTATACCTACATACAAGGAATCTGTATTTTTGCTAAAGATTAATTGATGATTAAACTTAACATTTAATTCGTCAATTTTGTTGAATATGAGCCTAACAGTATGATAAATTGTCTAGATTTATTATGCATGCCATGGAAATAAATATTATAACATTTGTTTAAGCTCTGTTAATTATGGATACCGGGAATAAACTTATATTTACAGACACAGTCCTGTGGGTGATCAGGTAATGGCTTATTGCTGGATTAATTAAGCATGTTTTCCTAGTATACTTTAATGTGCTTAGTTTGGAACTGTGGGTTTTGACACTGATACTGTTAGTACTTAATCAGTGGTTGGATTTTTTAAAGCATGATGGTTAATCTATTCTAACATGGTTAGGTTGGAATTGTTGGTTTTGGCATTTATAAATTATTTAAATGCGTGGAATAGAGTAATTAATATTCATATTTATGTTTCCAATATTAATCAATTTGTTGGGACTATTCAAGAATGGTTGTTAATACATTCTGATATGCTTGATATGGACTCGTTGATATTGTTATGTACTTGTATATGCTTTATCAACTATTGGATGGATTGGATTGTATGTACCGGTATGGGACGGTGACATACTAGGTTTGGATTAGCTTAAATTGCTAAGTCCTACCTATTTTGGAGTAAGGGCACGGGTTATAAAATACAATCCTCCTTATATATATAAGTCGGTACGGTTGAATACGCCGAGTGACTTACTGGATTTCTTGTGGATGGTTAGAAACGGAGTTTAGATATATTTTTATGTTACCGTGTCATGAGCTTGAGTCTCAGTGTCGACGGTTAGGGTGCGTATATGCAGTTGGATGTGTAGCTGACTGTGAAGGTTGAGGTATACCCTGTTTAGGTTTAGGTACTCATGCCCACTCAGGTGCGTATTGTGTGATGCCTTCTATCCAGGTTGAGACCCCCTTCATGGCCTAGCGAGAGTCTAGTAGTGTGGATATATTTATGTACGGCTTATTAGTTATTGTTGAACTATTTAGTATGTACATGCGTATCGAGTCTCTGCTTGGATTGTAGTAGGTTAGAACTTGTTCGTGGGCCTGACCCACTCCTATTTTTCAGGTGTACGTCAGTTCCAGGCTTGAGCTTGTTCGTGCTGAGCAGAGACGATCTTCCATTCTACCGACGATGTAGGGTTTCTTTCCAGATCTTGGATTTGGATTTTATCTTTCATTTTACTTTCATTCAGTGTGAGATTTTTATTAGGGGTCCACTAGAGATGGATTCCCGAGTTGTTCAAATTATAGATATTTGGTTTATCAAATTTAAGTATTTAATTATTTAAGGATTATCTTTTAGTTCTCTTTTCAGCTTTAAACTTTCATTTCGTAATTCATTTTGTATTCCGTGTTCGTTATAAAATATTAATTGTTTGATATTCCCTCGGGTTTGGGCCTGGGCCTGATCAACCCGTGTCTCGGATCCGAGGGGTATCACAGAGAGCTCTTGGCAGGCACTACACCGGTGCTGTCAACGTTCATCGATCTTCTCATCTCTTCCTTGTAGGAAAACGGTGTTGTATTGGACCGCGTGAATTTCACTCTCAACAGACCCATTATTAACTAAGACTTGAACTGGATCCGCGTTAGGTTGAAATATATTGCGAGAGCCGTCGTATGTAATTGTTCCCTATCACTGTCATGCCATTTGGCTATTAAGCATGAGAGAAGCATAGACCTTTTATTAATTAGTTATTACTTTGATTTGTTTTGCAGAATCTTCAGAATCCATATACCGATACTTTGAGTAATTATATAATTAATAGTTAGAGGTTTATATTTTCAATATTTGCATCATTACTACTTGTATTTATTTTGTATTGATTATGGTTGATCACAAAATAAATTTGAAGGCATTCGTGTGTTTTTAGATAAAATGATTTATTATATATTTATTTATTTAAATTATTATTTTTGTCAAACAAATGTTTAATTGTGATCAAGCCAGAAATAATCAAAAGTAACAAAATAAATATATTAATTAAGTAGTCAAATTGATGGCTTTATTTATTCGATAACTAATTATGTATAGAGTGGTCAAAGTACAACATTGATTTAGATGTTATTTATTATTTAATTAGAGTTCAATTAATTTATTTTAGTGGAGTAGAAATTAATTAATGAATTAATTTATTTGGGTCCATGAATCGGGTCAAGTATTAATTCATTGTAGCCAAGAAAATAATAATTTCAAAGGATTCTCACTCATAACCCAACTTGATATTAGATTCCTATTAGATTTGAGATATCAAGTTACTATACTATCTTTAATTATTATTTTTATTTTGCCTATATATACATGGGGTCCATATATATTTTACGTTACGCTTTGTAAAATAATTTTAGGGTTAATGTTCTCATCTAATGGAGGTTACCACAAGCCTAATTTTTCAAAATCATTCATGGAGGCTTATGGGTGATTCCTAAAGGTAAGACCATTACCAAGAAGATGGAGATCAAAGGAGAAGGCATCTAGTATAGGGATGTACAATAAGTGAGAACATTCACTTTAAAGGAGAGATCTAAGGTTTACACAAACTCCGATGTAAGTTTTCTATCCTTAAATTGGATGCATCATCATATTCTTTATGCATAAAACTTGTCTCTACACATGAATCTTTATGCATAAAACTTGTCTCTACACATGAATCAAGATTTTTATTTGAAAAATCCCCATAAAGTTTTAAAAACTTCTATTTTCCTAACAACAATGATGTTTCTGTTACGAGTAGAAAACAATGTTCCAAACGGGTCCAATAATGGTGAGATGAAGATGATAAAGATGTGATGCATTAGTAATAAGGTGATAAAGATATGTTTTAATTTTCTTATCATCAATATGATGAGCTCAATGGCTGAAGGAGGTTTAGTTTCTGTGATGGAGTTTTCAGAGTTGATTTGGTCTGTTTGGTTTGTATTTGGCACTAAATTGTGTATTGTAAGGTGTTGTTTGGTACTAAAATGATAAGGGTAACTTCGTAATTTAATATTTTCGACTAGCTCCGATACTGTCAAATTTGGATTTTATCCTTAAATTGCACAATTTTGATAGTTTAGGGCCCTATTTAGTTCAGTTCTTGGAAGAGAAAGTAAAATTAATGGATTTTATTACACTATACCCTATTATTATTTTTGTCATTTTTGTCATTTTCATTTATCATGTTATTTACCGAAATGGTTTAGTAGTTTCTGCTCCTAAACTAAAACTGTTCATTTATCTTGTTAAATGTCTTATCTCCTTTTAAATAAAGTGAGTAAACTATTCAAAATTTAGATGTGAGTTTGCATCCACATCATTGTTGTGATGAGACATCCCACCTCTCAATCAAATGGTATTAAAATTCGAAGTGAGAATGGAATCATGGAAAAAGAGTGGTTAGGAGTCGCTTGTGCCTTATGGCTCTACATGATGCAAGTCACCAAACTGCCCAAATTTTTTATTACCTCTACAAGTTACTACGTATATAAAAACAAGTCAGCACCTTATTTTTATTAATCTTATACGTTATTATCATTTCCTATTTTATAATTGGGAGAGTAGATATTCAATACGACTAATGTACTAAATTAATGTGAGTTCGTATGTTCATAACACATGTCAACGTGCATACATTAAAAATAATTTAGATTAATCCAATGAACCGTATAAAAAACGCATTAAATATTTATTATGAAGAGGGAGAACTACATTCTCTACTATCTTAGTTATCAATTTCGGACTCAATTGTTGTTGAATTTATTGTACATCTTTTATAACAAAACTACCATACTGGCCAAAATAAAGTAAACTTCTTATTGCCAAGGCCAATGTTTATGCAATCTACAACAAAAAAAAAAAAAATTCCAAGACTTTTGTGATTTATTGCGAATAACATTACCTTTTGTATGCAATCACAATTAATAGATGAGATTTAGTACAATTCACTTATCATAGATTACTATTTTGGGGTCAAAATCTACTTATTATTTTTTTATTTTCTAAAATAGAGTATTCAAAGGTTTAGAATCATCTCATGTTGTCATTTTAAATCGATAATATAATAATTTTACATTGGCAATATAATAATTTTAAATCAGTAATTCATCAGCCTTAAATTAACAAAGCAACAACTATATAACTGCATTAATTTTTTTTTACTTAGAATCGCCGCTAATGTAATGGTCAATCCACACTTGCTTTTTCAAATTTTTCAAAATAAAATTTCTTACCAAACATAATTCTAATTTCTACCAAAATATTTTTACAACAAAATCATTATTTTGATATTGACTACAAACATTATGCCTAAAAAGCATGACAAACGGACAAGTGTTTTTATCTCTTGATATTTTCTTACTGCTTGTGATATTTTCTTACTGCTTGTGATATGCCATTGATGACATGGCAAAATCTAAATGATTAATCTAAAGGTTGGACCATAGTTGTAAGCATAGTACAATGTAGACTTCTAAATAGTAGCATCCACGAACAAAACAGTGAGCTGGCCGTGATGGTCCCACTGATGACATGGCAGAATCTTTGTCAAACACGTGTATTTCCATTTCCACCCGACACCACCACTGAGGAGGAGGAAAGGAAAAACGAATCTCCATTAAAGAGGGAGACAAACGGAAGTGTTGATCCTCTTTCCTCCGCAACCATTACGTTTCTTCTATTCCTGAGAAACACTACTCCGTCACGATTCAAAGTAGCATTTTCAAACATAGATCGTTACTAGTTCTTGTCCATTTCGAAATCCCGAAAACCAATCCGATTCTTCTACAATTCCTTTCCCATTTCCTTTTCATTTTTCCATAGAGAATTGGATTCTGTAGAAACGTAGGATGGAAAATGCAGAGAATTGAACGACTATGACGAGTCTCTGTGAAGTGGGTACACACAGTTGTAGGTGTAGTACGAGAATTGTGCAACAAAACCCACGAAACTTTGATGCGAGATGGATGAATTTCCGGGGGGTTTGGGGTCCAGTGCGAGCTTGGCTCTGAGATTGGGACAAGCCATCTTCTCCATTGCTTCTCTGCTCTTCATGTGTTTGGATGTTGAGTTCTACAGTTACACTGCTTTCTGGTAATTCTGATTACTCTGTCTTAATCAGTCCTCAATTGGGTTTAATGAAGTGCTTTTGTTTTTGTTAATCTTCAATACCCATTTCTGTTTTTTCACTTCAATTCTGGTGTTGTTACTGTTGATTGATTTCTAAGATGGATTGTACAAGAATCTCATGATCATATAATTAATGCAAAATTGTTTGATGCTGATTATGTGAAAAAAATTGAGGTTGTAATGATTGTGGGGAATAAATGGAAAATTAGAAATATATTTTAAGGAAAATATCAGAATATAATGGTGGTTTGGTGATATGGAAAATCATTTTTTTTTTTTGGTTTTCGTGGAGAGGATGAATTTATTGATGGCTTAGCTGATAGCTTCAAGAGCATGTTGAAGAAGTCATAATGGGATATAGAAAGGTGTAGACTTAAAAAAATGATTCAAATTAGAGTAAGACAGTTTTTCTTGTTGGATTTCCTATGGATGGAGCCGGTAAACCAGATGAAAGAGCAGTGAATTTAGAAGCCTTAGCACTGTTGATATATGTATTTTAATTTGTATTATTTGATTAGGTGTAATATTGGTGCATATAACAACTCTCACCATCTGAATGTCCAAGTAATTGCTCTCTATTAGGAAAGAATATTTTTTACACTTGAATCGAATCCCTTTACATTTTTTGCCTTCTTCTAGTTATAGAAATCCCTACTTGCCCTAAAAACCCTTTGATCTTATCCAAACCTCAAGATAGTATGGGCTTTCTCTCTCCTAAACGGGCTTGGTCTCTTTTTGGGCCGATCTCTCGGTCGTAACAGGCCTTGAATGAGAGTCAGTGGGCTGGAGGGTCGTTGGGCCTCCCTCTGGGTTGATGGGCCGGACTGGACTCGGCCCAGTGGGATTTTATGCCCCTTTACCATCCAAATTAAAGATTAACTAAATCAAAACTTGGTTAGGTTATTGGATATTTAATTTTTGGGTAATTACATGTATGAAGTGGAATTTTGTTGCAATGAGATGAATGCGTTTGTTAATCATCTGAAGGATAGGCATTGAAGCTCTACATGTATGCAGTGACGTAGAGTAATCTATTTAGTGACAGAGGTGGCAAAGGCCGGACTGGCACAAAACTGATTTTCATCAAGTATGGGTACCTGATATTGGTGCAACTCATTGATTATGCACTTGGGAGTGCTTGATGGAGAGGTTAGACTCTTGGCGGTGTTTTAATATTTTATATTGTGATTAAAAAAAAAAAAACTGCAAATCTCAAATTGGATGAGGTGGTTGTAATTTGTAAGTTTGGCATTTCAAAGATTTCAGCTAATTTGAGTTAAAAGCCTTTACAACCTACTGTGCATTATGATAGTTGATAACTAGATTACTTGAATATAACCAGTGGTTTTGCTTAAAGTTCCTTTCAGTAATACGAGTGTGTAAATAAAAAAAGCAAACCGGTATAATGAGTTTGTTACCAAGCTGGTTCTGTCAGAAAATCTGAGGGATGACAATTTTTTAAAATTTCACGGCAGGGTAAAAGTATTGTTCTAAGTACACTGAATTATGCAATGAAGGTTGAGAGCATTGATTTTGGTAATAGCTAGATTTACCACATTGTCTTCATAGCTCTCTCTGGAAATATACTACAAATTGAGAATTCATAAGAGAGAGTTCCTGAGAAATTAGTAAGAGAACTTTGGAGGAGCTTTTGGTGCTGGTATCTCTTGATTTCTCTTGGTCTTGTACCTACTGTTATTGTAAAGTTTAGGTCCAAGTTGTAAGGTCGGGGACTATCATGGTGTTGTTTGGATTGCAATAGTGGTTGTGAAGTGAAACGGGTGATGGAGAAATGACGTAGGGTTTAAGTTGGAAAAGAGAAACTAGGCAATCTAGCATGTTGAATGTTGGGTGACTTATTTTATGCAGCAGTATCTATTGATCAAGATTAAATATGAAATTAGAACTATAGTTAGATAGACATTTATAAATGTAAAATGTGAATATGAAATTCCCTACATTTATTAAAACCCACCCAATAAGTTGTTTGATTTTAGTTTCTCTATGCATATGAAAAAAATGGTGTAGATTCTTGTACGAACTTGATTTAGTTATTAGTCTCTTTAAGTCACTTCTCAAATTAATTAGCTAGACAAATTGCTCAGTTGAATCCTAGATTAGATTGCATTTAGCCCTTGGTGTTTGGAGCATGCGTCCGTGAGAAGTTCATTGTGAGAATGACTTGTATCACAGCATTTTTAAAGGGCATGGTTTGAGCCTTGAAGGGTTTGTACTTTTCTCCGAAATCGGTAGCAGGAAAGTGCCCAATTTGAATCATCAAATCTTTTTCCCTTTTCTCAACTTTCTAAAGTGTTGTATTCAATTCCCATTAATAGACGTGAAATGCTTGTTACCATTTTCATTTTACAGCTGGAATATGACACTGTTATTTTCTATGGGATTCAATTTGAACTTGCCAAATGCACCACTCTGAGTTATAGGAAGATGACTCTCTGCATTATTTTCCCTAATCTTCTTGTTTCAGCTTCTTGGTAACAATCATGGCTCTGTTGATTCCATGGAGCATAACCTTGGCATTGGTGGATGCGTACTCTCTCTTTGTTAAACGTCCATCTCGTCAACCAGGAATAATGTCGATCATTGTCATAGGAGATTGGGTGCGTGTCTCATTTGATTCATTGTTGACCTTTCGATATCATCTCCTCCAGTACTAAATAGAAAGTATGTTGTATTATATCACAGGTTCTGTCATTTCTGTCACTCGCTGCTGCCTGCTCGTCAGCTAGTGTGATAGATATCCTGATGGCTTCTGGTGGATCCTGCAGTGCGAAGTTATGCAGTAGATATCAACTGTCTGCTGCTATGACCTTCTTGTCTTGGTTTCTAGCATTAGCATCCTCTCTCTTCAATTTTTGGCTTCTCCCTTCTTTGTAGCACCTATACACGTCCGGCTTTGGCTTTGCCATCTATAAGAATTAAATCTAATGGCTGCTGTTGAGAAAGTCTTGGTTGCTTAGATTTTGATATTTTCTATAATGATTGTGTTTAATAGTTGCAGATTAATATTGAGTTTTTACCATGAATTTTGAGGAATGAGTCAGGTTCACACGTCGGACGTGTCAAATTCCAAATAGGACACTGATGATAAAAGGGCAGACCGACACAAATAAAAATTTGTATTATTTTAAAAATATTTTTAGGTGCTTGTCCATTTAAAAGTGTCAGAACACATATTTCGTATTCATGTTTGAGTATCGTGTGTTTATTTTACCTACTTTTGAAGAGTGCATGTGTAAATAGAGAGTATGTTAATGCCACCATTGCCACTCCTACACTGCCTGGTTTGTAGCTGTCCTGTAAGTCCCAGCCCAAGCCTACCCAGACTGATGTTAAAACTGTATTGGATATATTTTACTGCTTTTCAACTGGGATATACAATTAGTGTGGAGTAGTTCTATTTTAATTTTGTAAAACGATGCAAAGAAATTCTCCATGGTTAAATGAGGTAGATTTGTAATATATATATATAATTCCTTTTTCAGAAAGTAAGTGTATAAATAAGAGAAATAATAGCCAGCCAAGGAGGGCACGAGACCAAACAAGATCAAGGATACAATTGGGTTGGCCCAATTAAGACCTAATCCAAACCAAAACAAAGCCTAAACAGGCCCAAATCAGGCATGGAGAAGAAGCAGAGTCCTATTCAAATAACCGTTGACAACGGAAACCATGGTGACCGTTATCAATGAATATTCAATCCTCCGGTTATCTCCGATTAGTGTAGTCAGGAGGTCTCGGAGGAGGACGAGTGCAGGCAGTCGATACACCCCAATCAATCAGCAAGCTTCGGGATTCTTCACTCTTTCAGAATTTCAGTGGATAGCTAGGAAACAGAGGAGATAATTCCATCAAGCACTGTGTAGCCGCCGTTTATGATTCTGTTGTGTATATTTTGCTTCTCTGCATGCATTTATTTCATATGAAAAGAAAGGAACAAGGGTACCTTTGCTGGAGCGCAATCAACACCTTGGGCGATTTGGAAGTTCATTGAAGGATGTATTCGAAGCCGCCTTCTCTGTATCAAATTTGGGGACTCCAGAAGCTCGAGGACTGTCAAGGCCAACTCTGCTCCTAGCAACTGATTTGAATTCTTTTTGCTTTTCTATCTTCTTGCTCCATAGTTTGTCTATGGTAGCTTTTGATTGCTGGGAAGCTTTCTTTGCCTTTTGGGCCTTTTTGTTTTGGGCTTGCTTTTTGTACCGTTTTTATTTTTTTATGTTATATGAGACAATCCGGATAGAAAATATTTTGATTTGAATTGTATGAGATTATGCATGAACCACTGCAATTCAAAGGCTTGATAGCTCTGATCCACTCTAGCTTTGGTTTTGGTGGCTGTCACTTTAGTTGTTCATTTGCCATTTTTATCCGGATCGTTGCTTTGGTCTTTCCTTATTTTTTTTGGGTAATTATATAGGTCTTTCCTTATCCTATATATAAAAAATAATATAACATATTTTATGTTTATAATCAATTTATTGGCTGTTGGATCAATGTAATGATGCCTTTGGTGGGAATGACCATTTTATTGGAATGAAAATTCATTCTTGAAAATAAAAATTCATTCCACAACTAAACATATGGAATAAACATTCTATTTCCAAATAATGTGTTTTTTTAAAATTCTAAGTCCTCAAAAAACCCTTATACTCCAAATTCAAAAACCACCTTCCACCGTAACCACGTACCGCTGATTTTCACTATCACCACCACCGTCACTACTATCACCATCATTGTTTCCACCTTCAACCAACACACCGTTACCACCTCCACTGTCTTTAGCCACTGTCACCACCACCGACTTCCACCATTGCCACCACCTTCCACCATTACCACCTTCAACCACCGCCACCTCCACTACCTTCCACCATCGCCATTGCCACCACCGCCACCTCCATTACCTTCCACCATCGCCATTGCTACCACCTTCACTATTACCACCACCTTCACTATTACCACCACCACTGTTAGCGCCTTCACTATTACTGCCATCTTCCACCATCGTCACTGCTACTGCCACTATCGTAGCTATCTTCCACCACCATCACACCACTGCCGCCTCCACTACCTTCCACCGACACCTCTACCACTACCACCACCGACCTCCATCACCACCTCCACCTCTATCAGCACCGCCACCACCAACTTCCATTACCACCATCACCATCGCCGCCATCTCCACCCCCATCGCCACCGATTTCTACCGCGGACTTCCATCGCCATCACCATCACCACCAGATCAACCTTCACCTTCTTTAACAAATTTTAGAATAACTTCAAATCGTGGCCGGAAAACCTAGTCTAAACACAATGCCATCAGTGTTTTTCTGAAACGATTGTTTGCCGAAACATATTTTCATAATAAGTACTTTCATCCTTATTTCCTCCCTTAAATTCAGTTGAAACCTACTACCATAAATTTACCTTTGTTAAAATCTACAATGTATAAAACCCATCTTCAAAATGTTCTCTTTTCTTTTATTGATTTAAGAGAAAAGTGATGGTGGTAGGAAGGAAAGGGAATGAGAGAGGGAAGCTGGGGAGGTGTGCTCTATATTTTGTTTTGATATAGACAGAATTGTCGACAGAAGGTGAAAAGGGAAAGAGACTTCCCTTGAACCCTCCAAAAATTCAGTTTGAAAATATAATGATAAATTAGACTCACCCATTTTCAGATTTTATTTTTTATTTAAAAAATTAATTTAGGATCTCGACGTAATTTTAAAATAATAATTTTCAACATCATCAATTTGTTATTTCGGTTACTAATTTTGTTGTAAAGACAATATAGTTCTCAAAAAGTCGTGAAAAAATTCATTCAAAATTGAATAAAAAAATAAAATTGCATAATCCATTACAAAAGAAGGTGTAATTTTTCCAAACAAAAGGGGAGTTTTGTGTAATGATAAGCTTGAGGGAAGTTTAGTGTAATTTATTTAAAGACCAAAAAGTTTTGGTTGTTTAAAAGTAAAATTTCATGGTCAATTAGATTAAGACAACATGAGAAAAATAATCTTTTTTTTTTTTTTTTTTTTTTTTTTTTTTTTTTTTTTTTTGTGCGATTAGAGAAATCAAAGCTAAAAAATTATACAAAAACTCTGTTTGATTCAGGTTTTTGAAAACTCGATTATAAAAATGTCAGAACAATAACAAACTAAGCAAGCTCTACTATTTCTACGTACATTTCGTAAAATACTTCTTCTAGTATCCCTCATTTCATTCTTCTCTTATTTTGCATCATTTTCTCATTTCATTCTTCTCTTATTCTTTTCTAAAATTTTATGACATTAAATATTTTTGAAAAAATTACAAAATGATGCAAAGAATTAGCCTCAAAAATGATATCTTGTATAAGTTCATCAAAATTTAACCTCTGACCTCCCCTTTGTGGAGTAGGGGCTTGTATCGCTCGGTCACTTGATCTTTGATTTTATATATTAATATTATATATGCTTAAATTAGACATATTCATGTTTGGATTAATATAAAATACTTTTTATTTACGAAGAACGGTAGCCTAGCAGTACTTTCACGTCCTTTTAAAGTAAGAGTTTAGATTTTTTTTTTTTTGTTTTTTTGTTAAAATGGTAAGCTTTTATAAATAAAAAGAGTTCAGGTTTTCGTAAAAACAAAGTGAGTGTATGAGTTTCTTGCCAAGGTCAATATATATATATATATATATATATATATATATATAGTAATAAAATACTTTTTATATATACACGTTCTTAGTGTAGTTTTTTATTTTTATATTACAAAAATATAAAAGAATAATATATTATAATTTTTTAAATATATTTTTAAAATTTAATTTTCTAACCCGTAAGTATAAGTTTCTGGGTTGGCCCTGGTCCCTTCTTTGTTGGCTATATGTTCCTAGCCAACAAAGGGAAGAAGCTTCCCAAAAAGAGAAGAAATAGTAGAGTTCATTATAAAATGCACTAAGTACTAACAGACACATATAAAAGTTAAAAAAACTATATAATTAATCAAGAGAGTACTGAGGATGGCTTTATATTGCATGCATGATTGAATGAGAATTAAAGATCTTGACCCCTTTTGTACCACGCAACCCTCCATGAAGCTTCATCTGCATATCCTTGTAATGCAACCACAAGATCTAGAACAACTCGTGCAAATATATAATATTGAATTATTATTGTTTTTTAATATATAGATCTGAGAGATCACTATACTTTTTCATTCATTTTTTCTATTCTCAGTACAGTTCATTCATTTTTTTTTTTTTTTTTTTTTGACTCTAGTCCTAGTGCTAGATGTTGATGCAGTAATTTCAAAACGAAGAAAAAGTAATGCAGAATTTTGTGGACTTTGCTTTTTAGAATTACTTTTAAGTGTTTTTTTTAAGTTGTTATTTACTTTCCCCTAAAAGAGTTTGTTATTGGAATCTTAACACACCACCTCCACTATACAATAAGCTCTCAAATTTTGAAGCTTGTAATACTGAGAATATTAAATATTATGGTGTTAGATCTAGAAGATTGTAAGAATTTATACACCAGAGAAGATTCTTAAAAGTAGAAAAGAGCAAAATATTTGTAGTGTTTAAAAATATCTAAGGATATTTTAGAAGAGAGTTTAAGAAAGTAAATTTCACCCGTTGATTATAATCTATTATAACCGTCCGATAAAGAGGAAACTTTTTATATAAGTAGTGCGTGAATAGTGTAAACTCACGTAAAAGGTGGTTCGTGCACTCTTTTATCAACCCAACTTATGATTTATGGATTTCTGATGAATTTAAATCAACCCAACTTATGAAATCCACGATCTTCAATTTATAGATTTCTGATAAAAATTGGACTAAATTATCAACATGACATGCATAAGATGAACATCTACGAATTATAAATCATGAAATATAAATTGACCACTTACTTCTCATAGCCGTCGATAACGTATTACATGCGACAAACTTGACATTCAGAATAAAATAAAAATTGTCATGCGCAATGCAATGTCAGTCTGCCATAAATTTTTTATTTGCAATGAAATTATCGAGGAGTGAATTTCATCCCGTTACTCAGATAATAGCGTGTTACTTACACATTAGATTCCAAATCGTTCCGTTTGATTTGTTTGATAACGTTCCCAAACTTTCCATTTAATTGGTTGGGAGATAACCAGTCTTGCATGATCGGCTCAAAATTCTAAAAAATATTGTTGTAATCCATATTCTTATTTGAAAACTTTTATGTATTTCAATCCTTAAATATTATTTTATATTATTTTTATTTGAGACATTTTATATATTATTCTGATTTTCAAACAATAATTTTAATCTTAAATTTTAATTGAGAATTTGAATATTGTCTTTATCTGCATAAGGATCAAAAAAAAAAAGAGAAATTTTTTTATGATCATAGTTGAAAATTTATTTTATTATTTATTTTTCGTTAGATTTGTATTACAATTATGAAAATACTCTACAAAATCTGCTCCCGTCTTGTCACTATCCCACCTCTTTTAATAAACAGTTTTGGAACAGAAATGTAAGTAACTATTCTAAACAGGTATGGGATGGGATGAACCCTCGAGCCGCCCCAATCCATTCCTACACAAAACTGCTCAATTATCAAAAACCTTCAATAATACTATTCAAACAATTAACTAACTCTTAAACTACTAAAAAGTTTGCAACCAAGGACATTCTGTCAACAATGGCCATCTTACATTTCCTCAACTATCTACAACTATCTAAAATGCGCAAATACCCCTCCTGAATTAATTAACGCCTTATAAAACCCCTCATCACATCATTAATTAATAACTCTCCGGTTTATATATGCATAAGAACAAATTTTTAGCTATTGGCTTAAAGATTTTTACGAGCTTGGGTAACATGCAAAAATAAATAATTAAATAAATAAAACTCGTGAATCGATCTCCTTAGTATTCAGACGTATGGCATATTTTAATTATAATTAATAAACATGTCGAAGCAAAATCTGATCACATATAAATACTTAAGTTTCATTTATCTTTAATTCCCTTCATCCCATCATTTTCATCAATACCAAACAAAATTCCTTTGCATTATTGACTTATTATTATTATTATTATTCTAACTCAATAAATTTGTGAAGCAAATATAGCCTTAAACATTCCTAGAAAACTTACCTTTGTGTTTTTTTTTTGTTTTTTCTTTTTCTTTTTGAAAGGTAAAGCAACAAACATTAATAGTTTAATATTTGTGGATCTATTTCTCCTAATAAAACTCTCTGCTTGTGTCCAAGAACTACATGCAAGCCCAGTAAAAGAAGTCAACATTATTTATAAAAATGAATTAAACAATATTTATTTTCTGTTTTCACCAACTCTGTTTATTTTCCTTGGACATACAATATATATAGCAATATTCATTTCCATTTCCATTTCCATTTCCATAATAGCACTATATATTCATATTTGCACATGCACGTGTACATGTATTTGTTTGAGCTGTCACCAACTCAACAGTGCTTATCTTCATCCTAATTCTTTTTTCCATTGACCAATTCAATGGATGAAACTATATATATATATATTACTAATACTGAGCCATCACAGTTTCTATGAATCATGACTTTGTTTGCATCACAATGACCATGAAGGATCTTAACCACCGCACTCCTTGGAGATTTCATTTGTCAAATTGATTGAATCTTCTTTAAAACTTGACCCTTGTGACTTAAGGATTAAGAAACAATCATATCGTAGCGGCTGATACACAACGTATTAATCAGTTTATATATATATATATATTTTTAAAGGTTCTATATCATTACACACCTGCATGAGTAGTTCGGTCGATTTATATTAATATTCGCTCGAATTCATTATACTATGACTGATATCGCAACTGTGAATCATGGACATAACAAATAAAATAAAGGAAATTTGGTGTGACACTAATCAACGTGAAATTAAGAGAGAATAGATTTAAATAGTTTGAACACATACATCAAGACCAGTAAATAATTTTAAAAAGTTATATATAATATGTGAAATGATGGGTAAAATTAATAGAAAAGAAATGACAAAGAATTCTTATGAAAATAAGGTAAGAATGATGACTTGGATACCTAAGTATGATTACTCCCTCCGTCCCAAATTAAGTATCGTTATTGGAAACTGTGACAATTAAGTATTGTGACACAGTTCTCAATGACAACACTTAATTTGAGA